AACCTGAGACGGGGTATAGAAGCGATAGCATTCACTTCTGTTGCGAAGCCGATAGTAGAAGCGACAAACGTGATGGAAGTAAATCGCTCAAAGCATATAATGTACGTCGCGTAAGCTATTTTCGATTAAATTGGGATTTTACACTTGATAATGATCGCGCTATCACTATCGCGCGGATTTAAGGATTTTCACTTATCCTTTATTGCGACTGCAAATTTGCTCTTATCAAATCTCACATCACCACATAATAGCTGTAGCAAGCTATCTTACCAGAAGTAATTTTTCTAATGGCACGTAGTATATCACGTTTCTGTCCCATTAAATTTCAAACACCTGAATACATTTTAATCCTTTTGCACATAATTCATATTCCACGCAATTTTTCGCGCATTATTTATAACGCGTCGCCGCATAAAGACGACAGATATTATGCACGATAGAAAAAAATACAGCAACGATATGAGATCATATATATATTTATCGTAAATTCTTCAAAATAGTTGCAGCATCTCTCGTGTGATTTACGTCTTTTAAATTAAATGCGATTTTCCCGCGAAGCCCGTAGCATTACGTATGGACGACAGATGTTTGAGGTTGAATTTTCATTCGTTATGCATGTGAGAAACGGAAAAGGTGGATCACTGAGAAATTAATTCCTTCCGTGTAATCCGATATATATCCGTAGGATATAATCGGTACAATTCTGTGAATTCCGTAACATGCGAGTATATAATTTGCTATCGGCGAGTGACGACTGTCCTTCACACAATGCTCACTCACGATGATTGCGTTCGATAATTCCGTCACGACTTCATGGGAGGGCGATTGAAGGGAAATAGAAAATATCGACAGTACCGTCGTCCGATACAACTACGATACTGCAGTTTGAAAAATGTTCGTTATTTTCCGTTGAAACAAGTTTTTTGTTCCAACAAGAGTGTGATTCGTCCAATTTTCTCACTCGACATTCATTATATCATGTGTTCAGATATCGAGTACACGTCACATTCTCGATCGACAACAAGATGCAGTATTTTAATTCAATTTGTTTTAAACCGCTGCTGCATTTTAAATCGGTTTAATTAAAACATAATGCAATTTTCAGCATTTTTTCCATACAATTATAACCAAAGAATTGACTCTAAGTTATAAAGCATAATCGCGAGTTTATGGCCACTCTGCACGAAAGTAATCATGGTGAGAGCTGCATTTTTATGTTGACTGGTTATTATGCATATACATTTTTATGCATAATATATGATAATATAAACTTTTTGCAATTTGCGATAAGATAACAAAATGTAAATAAAAAATCTGCGGAGATGCAACTTGCAGAGAGAATGCAGAGTTTGTGTAACGTGTTGGTTCATGTTGAGTTTTCTACGGGATATACTGCAATATATTGTCGGGACGCGATATTAAAGTGTATATTTTACACTGTGTTATAAAAGACAGCTTGCGATATAACAGTCCATGTCACGCACTTCAGAGCTCTCGATTTAACCTGTAAAAAAAATTCCTTTCTCCACCAGAATATTATTGTAAACCATCTCGCATGAGAATCTGACATAACGGATGATGGTCCATTGTGCTTCCTGATCAATAAAAGCGAAGGATGTAATAATATATAAAAATATTGTATTAAAGGACACGATATTATTCTTGTCCGCTTATTCTTCTATCGAAAAATCTGTAATTTTAAAATTCATAAAAAAATTGAACATGCGAGATTAAATTCAAGGAGATTACGTAATGCACATATGCGAATCATTGATTTCTCAATTCATGCTTGTATATTGTCATCTAGAAATATGAAAAAAGCTTAAAACAAAAACTTATCTATTTTTAAATCGTCAGTTATCATGACGTTTAATGCCATCTGTCCGATAATTATGTGACGTTAATACCTGGATTTAATACCTGAATAATAAATCATTCCCTTCCGTTATCTTAAATACTATCTAAATCTGCTTCGTCACGAACTGTCTTCCACACCTTTTTTAAATGGCAATAAAAGTGAATTTAGGGAACAAGGGCATCTACAATTGCTGCAATTAAAATGAATTTATGGATATACTGAAAAATTTGATTGCTGCAGTCTTTTTTTGCTGCATTCAATATAACTTTCCAACGCTTTCTGCAACAAATTAACAATTACATATCTAGACCGTCGGTAGTTGTTGTCTAAAATATTTCACGACAATAAAAAGAGGTACAGTGAATACGCGACGCAGTGAAACGAATAATATTTAACTTTTATAAATACATACGGAAATAAGAATTTCGAAATAAAATAAATTTTTTAATTATTTGATAATTCTTAATAACTTTTTAGCGTTAAGATTTTTTGTATGCTTTTTCATTAAACGACATCTTCAATATTTCTTTTATGAAGTTTTTACCTGCATGATGCTTTCAACCATATGTCTATAAAAATAGAACAAACTACGATTGTATCTTCGAAATAATCATGCGAATAGTCATTTGCATAAATAACTAATACACTGGTTTGTAATCGATAAAAAAAGTAGGTCAAAGTATGGTATTATACGGTAATTTCACTCAAAGATCTTAAAGATTCTACTTAAATGCTAATGACAATGACATTACGATGACGTCACGTTAAAGTGACATCAATATTAAATAGTTTTTTCTTTCATGAAAAATATTACGATAAACATAATATTACATACTTACCACATACATACACACGTAATTTTCGTAGTTTAATAAACGTTTTATTTGAACGTTCGACAATAGAAATGCAAAATTGAAGCATGTTCCTCAATTGCTGAAATAATAGTGGAGATTGGTAAGAAAATCAGGTTTAATTTAATAGTCTGCGGATTATTTCTTGCCGCGTTAAATGAATATCGCCATCGCATTTTGATCTTATGCGAGGGAGTGCGGGGAGGCCATTATTTATACGCCTCCGCATCGTGCAAAAAAAGCTCCTGTTCCTCTCATCAAATTTTTTAATACACTAGAACAATACAGACGCGCGCTACGTGCGCACACTCATTATAATAATTTAATAGTTATGAAATCTAAATATTTTAATAAAATTGTTTTTTAATTTTAAATAACCGTCAAAATAACTTTTGCTGTCAAACTATCAAACTGTTACACTTCGAAACTTTGGATATATTCGAGTATCTACTTCTCATGCCTTTTTTAAGAGTGGACTTAAGATGGTCGAAAGGTCGGCCGATGAAACGTTAATGATGAATTCAGAATAAAGAAGATTATAAATCAGCAACTAAAATCCTGCGTTGGCTCTTAATCCTTCTTTTATCTGATTTTTTAATTTTTTTGAGCCGAGGTTGACTATTTTATAAAATTAATATTGCAAATTCTTCTACAATATCAACGTTTCTATGATGTAATGACAGCCTGTGCTCTGTTTTTGTTATCTTCATTTTCAAGCTAGTTGTACTATGCCGCTAAACAAGCTAACAATAAATTTAATGAGAACACATTGTATCGGAATCTGTAATAAAATTGAAATGTAATCTGTTGGTACATGGCTATACATACTGCTTGCATTTGCTTGATGAAGTATACTGAAGAAAAAAGTGTACTGTCTGTATAATAATTCACTTATATATCCTTCACCTTTTATTTCTCATATTTCGCATTTACATCTTTTATCACATAAATTATTATATTTTTTAAATTCAATAATCTCTTTTTTTATTTTAACTTTTAGAGGATCAATATAGTACACAATGCTATGTCTGTATCAAGTTCTATGTCATTTATTTTGATATTTTTATCTACTTTGAATTCAAACGTGCGTATCATGTTGCTAAAATGACTTTCACAGAAATCATACTACGACCTGTAATTTTGTTAATTATACAAAGTGTCCGGTAATTGCTGAATCACCTCTTGGGTGCAGATAGAGCGGGTTAAACCGAGTAGAAAAGTCCTCTACCGTTTAACTATTAAACTGTCAGAATAATCGAGATAACCAATCAGCGTCGCGGAAAAGCGTCAATACTACACTTCAAGACTCTCGAGATTTTTGATACATTCGAGTATCGACTTTACATGCCTTTTTTGAAAGTGGATTCCGCCGCAAAATGTTAGTTTAATTTACATATGTCAACCACACACTTGCACTTAATTAATAATGCAAATAACTTCTGACCTTGCGTTGGAGATGAAGCAGATGAATTGCAATAATAATTTTATGATAATAGATGGGTTAAACAATTATATAATTAATATTAAAGTATAGTATAAAACTGAAAATTATATTCTTACTATATAACAACACAATCACGCTTGAATATTTTCCTTTTTTGATCATTTTAAATTCAAAGTCGGATAAAGTAAAATAGAACACATAAAAAAGTTAAAAAATGTATACTTTATAAAATTTCTCAAATGAATTATCATTTTATTATTGTAAATTGTATTTTAAAAACGGCGGACAATATGCCATGAAAACTCCAAAGTTTTAACAAGCCTTTATACGCGTTAATGAGAATAATAATTTTTCACCATAATATATAAAATAATTTAGTAGTTAAAGAATAGTGTGTGGGTAAAAGCGGTGTGTAATAACGCGGCTCATTTCATAATGCTTTAATAAAATAATGCTAATATGAAATATCTATTAATTAAAATGTTTTCATTTATAAAATAATAAGAAAATTTATTTGAAGCATATTGCGAAAATACGGCATTAGATGCTAAAAATATTTCCACTAAATAATCATTGTTTTCTAATAAATAACATTTTTAAGCAAATTTTTATAAGTTATTTTATATTTATGTTATATTTTTGTGCGTCACAGTATAACGCAAAATATTTGTTTAATCAGTTTTTTTAGACCTTTACATAATTCTAAAAATATTAAAAATTAAAACATGAAAAATAAATGACACGTTATCAATAACTGTCATAAATAACGTTACAAATAAAATTTTAGCAAAACAACATTTATGTATTGCTGAACAAATTACGTTATTCCATAGCTTTTACAGAAATTCGTTGTCATAATATAATAGTAACAATAGTTCTGAGAGCGGCGAATTTAATCATGAATATACAAGACATATGTTTATACAATTACGTTATATATTACGAAGTACGTTTAAATCACAAATAACATCGAACTTTTTCTGTTATAATCTCGTCAGCCTCGTCTGTAGGTAAGAAAATAATACTTTTGAAAAACTGACGTGATAAAGTAGAACACTCATTAATTTATTATTATTGGCCATTCAGCGATGGAATGCCATCAGAACTGCGTTATAACATTTGATTACTTTTGACAAAGCTCGTCGTAAAGCATGAAGATGATAATATTATAATATTATTTATAACAGATACGTCGTTTTCGTAATGTATAGTTAAGCTAGATGATAGCAACGTTTTCTTTAAACTGAAGTTTCTCGCACATTGTTCGGGTATTCATTCTGAATGTTTGTACCTGGCTCTCCGCCGTGCTCTGTCGCCACTTGATTGAAGTCGATCTGAAACGGGCTGGAAACAAATCAAATGCAGATATAATGTTTGCTGAAACTATTTTCTCGTAGCTAAAGACATGGCCTAGAATACGCATAGCAGAAAATAAACTTTCTCCAATTCTGCATTGCAAAATTCTATTATTTTATTTTCAAGTTTAACACTGCATTATTGCATTTTTCTTCAAATACTTTTTAATGTTTCGTGACTAAAAGGAATAAATCTGCAACCGCATATATAAATAATTCTTTGACAAAGTTTATATTCTCACAGTATCAAAGAATTTTACGTTTTCAGTAGCACTTTTCTCTGACTCTTATACAGCTAATTCGAGCCGTAAATTGCGACCACTGCAGATGATTGAAGTCGGGAGTGACAAATTGGCTCACGCTCAGGCTACTATTAGATCAGTTTTAGCTTAAAAGCTTTTACCTTTAAAGGACCATTTCTGCAGATTAGATCTGTAATATTTGATTTAAAAAAAAATATGTTTTTTTATTTTATATGTTTGTATGTGCGGGGGAGGGTTATGTGTGTGTGTATATATATATATATATAT